ACACACACACACACACACACACACCAGGGCACTACTATTCACAAACATAATGGGAATAGGAAACAGGAGCTCCCTAATTCCAACTATGACACCAAGTTCCCCAGATATCATTCACCATTCCTGCAGAAAGGACATCTAGCAATTCTGAACCTCTCTAGCCAACGGGCCTTACCTTTAAAGAACAACTTCACCAAAGATTAGTCATTTCATTTATATTGGCAATTTTATGAGTAATAAAAGCCAAGTGTTGCATGTCCTCTGTCTTTATAAAGGGAGGGATAAGGAAAATGGTTATTTTCAGGGCTGGAGAGATAGGGTAGAATAGCACGTGCCTTACACACAGCTCACCCCGGTCCAATCCCTGGCTCCACAAAGGGTCCCCTGCTCCAGTACCAGGAGTGAGCCCTGAGCTCAGAGCCAGGAGTTATGCCCCAGGCACAGCTAAGTGTGAAAGCCAAATCCCCATCCCTCACCCAAAGAAAATGGCTATTATCATATTTCATCACTTGATCACTTGACTTCCCATTACTTATCGATTTGTTCGAGCGGGCGCCAGTAACGTCTCCATTCATCCCTGTCGCGTGCTAATGTAGCCCAATGGCGTCTGTTCGTTTTAGGAACACGAAGAGCCTCAGGGTGTTCAGGGTCTTGATCGTTCAGGATAGTTCAGTAAATATAATGGGTCTCATCATATTTCATATTAGATATGAAATATATAATATATATAAACTGGTGAACTATCATTACCAAGTTCACATATTCCCACTTACTTAGCTTACTTTCCCTTTCAAAAAACAAAATCAGAAGTTTCCCAGCCCCCCAAATCCATCTTCTTTATTTTTTGTTTCATTTGTTTGGGGGCCACACCTTCCGGTGCTCAGGGCTTACTCCTGGCTCTGGACTCAGGGATCATTCCTGGCAGGGCTCGGGGGACCCTGTGGGTTGCCAAAGATCTAACCCAGGTCAGCTGCATGTAAGGTAAATGCTCTACTCACATTATCTCTCTAGCCACAAGTCTACCATTTTTTTTTTTGGCAGAGTAACTAGCCTGGCCTGGAAATGGTATACACAGACATAACATTATAATATATACATTTATATTTTTAAATGGTTGGCATGGGGCCGAAGTGATAGTACAGTGAGTAGGGTATTTGCCTTGCATGCGGCCAACCCGGGTTCAATCCCTGCTATCCCATATAGTCCCCCAAGCACTGCCAGGATTAATTCCTGAGTAGAGGCAGGAGCAACCCCTTAGCATTGATGGTTGTGACCCAAAGAGAAAAAAAAATGGTTGGCATAACATACAAAAAATAGAAGTTATTCCCAAAACTCAAAGACGTCTACTAGGCATTATTCCTCTTTTCAGGTTGTCCAAATGCAACCAAAACATCCTATGTTTTGGAAAGGATGTCCTACACCATTGCCTGTGCGTTTGATGACTCCTAAGTCTACCTTTTTAACGAGAACATATCTCCTGGAATCACTGGATTTGGCTGGATCATTCCAGTTCTACCTCAGGCAGGGCAGGGGAAGGGGGGCTCAGTACTGCCCACTTTGGGAAACAATGACCTCAATAATCCTTTGGTCCCAAATCACTTCTCCCTTAGAAGTTCCGGGTCATGCCTTCTCCTTCCCCTCTGGTCCAACATCACAGGCCACGTGACATCCCAATTATGCATGCACGTGGCTGAGCTCCTGGCTACCTGGCAAGTCTGGGTGGCAGCACCCCCCCCCCCAACCCATCCTACTGCCTCCCCCCACACATACGCTGCACACAGTAGGCACGCCAAAAAGACCCGCCCATTAAAAGCTGAAAAAAAAGGCGCCTTTGTGTAAAAGCGCTCTTTTGATAGCGACATCTGGGCTCCCCATTATTTGATAAGCAGAGGGGTCAAGCGGATAGGCAATGCAAGAAGTCGGCTGCAAGCCCTGTCAGCCAAGATGTACTCCCGACACCCTTGAGAGCACATCAAATTATCTTCATTATGATCTCAAGTGACTGCGACTCCTTAAGGGAGTCTTTTCAAAGCCTGTTCAAGCCGCCAGGAGGCTAGAAGGCAAGTGCAAGGCCAGGGGAATAAAACCTTCAACTTGAGCTAAGCCTGGGGCCAGTCAACCAGGCTATTGTGACCCCGGGCCTAGGAAACTCTCCTTCACTGGCTGGACTTGATGCGCTTTAAAACTCCTGGTTCACGTGCATTGTATCTCCACCGCCCAGAGCAAAGACATGGCAATTCATTCATTCAGGGATCCTGATATGAACTATACTTCCTCCCTACCACCACCCAAAAAATGACCAAATTTTGCTGGAGTACAGGCCGGGAAGACAAGGTTAATGTATGCGTTTGGAGAGGCCAGGGTGATGGTAAAGATTACCCCTGTTTCTATACTGGCCGTCTAAAGGTATTTACTTGGGTCTGTCTGTGTTGTGACAGCGTCCTAGACGCAAATGAATGCCTCTAACACTCCACATTTTTGAGCCATTCAGTCATGCATTTTTGTTATTGTTGAAAGTGGTGCGAAATTGCACTGCATGAGCTAAAGTCCTTGGTGGTCTTCCAAGGATTCCAGCTAAAAAGGCACTTCCTTTGTTCCTCAGGAGAATGCAGTCCAGTAGGTCATTCAAAAGGGGAAATAAAAGCAGCAGCCCTGGGAGGGAGATGAAGGACAAGACAAAAAGAATAAAATGTTTTGGGTGTGAGCACATTAGCTTCCATTTCCTGCTGCTGGTCCCTAATAACTCTCCAAACTTTGCAGGGAGATAATGTCCAGTTAGACACCTTTAGGCAAAAAAAAATCTTCAGGTGTTTTCTACTGATCACAAGGATCAAAGGACACACCTAGTCCAGTCTCCAGCACACTTCAAACTTCCTTTCCTCTGCTGATGCCGGCCAGGGAAGATGTTCTCCCTAGTGGGCATCAGACTGCACAAAGTTTGAGCAAAGCAAGGGAGGGGAGTTTACAACTGCCCCCCGCCCCAACGCCGGCAGTCCATTTCAAAGCCACATATTGCTTGCATGAGCAGAAAATGAAAACTTGTCACATTCCCATTAAGTGCACTGCTGCATCCCGCCCTTCAAAAACGCAGCAATGACAACTGTAACCTTCACGCCAATCATCTTGACTGGGCTCAGGCCAAACCGCGACAGGGCACAAAGACCCCAGGTCTGACCAGCCAAGCCCGCCCGGAGCCCAGCGGCCCGCCCGGGCGGCTGCCTCACTTCACTTTTCCTGGCAGGGCGGGGAGAGAGCGGGAAAGAAAGAGAGCTTTTCAGGGCTCTACAACCAATAAAATCGGGCTGTTGAGAGGGCATACTTGAGCTCCCCAAAAGACAGGCAGCTCAAGGGCAAACAGTCTCTAATCAGAAGTGTGCGAGTTCTTTGATAACTGCCAAGGTGCAGTGCGCGGCGCGGCTGCTCCAACAATTCGCTTCTATTTCGAGACAGATGCCGCTTCCACTTGCAAAGCGCCCGGCAACTTCCCTCAATTACCTTTGTAATTTATGTGTAATTGATGACCGCACTTAATCTCCAAGGTTATTAATAGCCCCCCCCCCATACACACACACACCTCCAAGTGACCCACAAGTGCGTCCGAGCCTTTGGAACTGCCTGGTCGAGATTACACTATTTGCCTTGCAAGCTGCCTGGCCCCCTCTGCCCACCGCACCAGGGGTGACCAACACCTCCAGGCAAAGGCGTGCTCTGCTCACTTCCAGGAAGAGATTCCGAACGGAGCCTGTCCCCGGGCTCCGGATCGTTCGCTCGTCCGTTAGGCTGAGCTGGCCGCGAGCCAGTTAGAATTCGGGTGCTTTTTCCGAGCCCTCTGGGCGAACGGGCTAACCTGAGCAGCCACTAGCCCCAGAGCGCCCCGCGGGGCTGCGCGCAACAGTTGGCCTCGGCTAAGGAGTGCGACCTGGCGCGGGTACCGGCTCGGCCCAGGTTGCCCGCGCAGAGGGAAGGGTCCAAGGGCAACCTTCAGAAATCTGTCTCTCCAGCGCTCCCCGAGACCCCACGCACCCACCCCCACCCCCCAGCCCAGCAGCGCCCAAATCCCGCGAACTTTTTTCACCCGCTAAGCCGTCTCCATTTGCATAACCATCTCCAAACTGCGATTCAGGTTTCCTGGAATCTGTCCTTTGCAAGGTCTGTAAGTGAATGTGCAATTAACCCTTAAAATGGTGCGAGAGAGGAAAGTAGGGGAGGGGTGGGGGGAGCGGAAGACTACCCGGCTTGTCCCAATACCTTCTGGAAAGCAAGAACGCACCCCCCCAAGTCGGGGTTTGGAGGGGCGGCGAATGTTTTGTTGGTGGTGGTGGTGTTGGTGGGCTTTTGTTTGTTTGTTTGCTTGTTTGTTTGTTGGGGGGGGGGTTATTTTGCTTTTTCAAGAGGACTCCTGAAGCTCAAGAGCTATCCAACTCCAAAGCCGGGTCGGCGGTGGGAGCGAGGAGGAGAGAAGATTGCTAAAGAACATCCATGAGACCTAGGATTCAAGTTCCACGTTCGACCGTCCCCCCACCCACCCTCCCCGTCCCGCAAGCTGGCAAGGCTCTCGAAAGTTCCCCCTCCACCCCCCCCAACATCCCCAAATGGCGACCCCCGCCCCCGCCCGGCTTGTCGGCACCCACACAACAAAGCGGGGAGCCCTGTAAGGAGTTGAACCCGGAAAAAAAGGCGAGGGAGCGGGTGACAGGCACTTTGCGGGCCAGAATTCTCTAAGGGCTTCTTGGGACCTGGACGGCGAGCGAGAGCTGGAAGCTAAGGGAGATGGGACGGGGCGCGGGGGTGGCACCCCGCCGCTCGCAAGGAGCACACGGGGTCCGTGGCGCCCGCGGGGCACGCTCTCGGTGCCAGGGCTCGCCCGGGCGCTCTCGCCTGCCCAATTTCTCCTTCTGGGCAACGTGCGGGCGGGGGAACCGGGACGAGGAGTTTCCGCGTTCCCCGGCACCGGGGTACCCACTTCTGCGCTCATTTTCCCGGGCTGGGGTGCTCCCACTTACCGTTGATCTCATGCGTGGGGGCATCGTCCTTGTCGAAGCCTTTGGACACGTAGAGGCGTCGCACTTCCGAACAACTTTTCGACTTGAGCTCGGCGGCCAGCAGCGCGGCGCTGAGCACGGCCAGGGCGCAGAGAAACGTGGGCATGCCAAACCGTGCCATGGTGCGGGCCAGGCGGACGCGCTCCCAAGCTTCGTGGGGACGGGACGGGCAAGTGGCGGGCGCCCGACTCCGGGAGGGGGGGACGCGCGGGGAGGAGTCGGAGAAGGAGGAGAGAAGACGGAGGAGGAGGAGGAGGAGAAGGAGAAGGAGACAAGGGGCTGAAAAGTGGAGCTGGGCCTCGAGCGGCGGCGGGCAACGGTCCCCCGGTGCCAGGCGCCGGGGTGGAGGAAGAGGAGGAGGAGGACGAAGAAGAGGAGGAGGAGGAGGGCGTGGAAGTGGCGCGCCTGGAGAGCCGAGGCGCGAGCCGGGGAAGGGGGGATGGATCTCGGGGCTCCGCGGGAGCAGCGAAGCGGCCGAGCGGGGCTGGCCGGCAAGATCGGGACGCGGGGGAAGGTGGCAGGCGCCGCGGGGACCGCGCAGGGAATGGGCGGCGGCGGCGGCGGCGGCGGCGGGCGGGTGCTCGCTGCGCGCTGCGGGGCTGCCCGGCGCGGATCTGCTCGGCTCGCTCTGCCGTCGGCCGCGCGGGCTGTGCCCTCCTCGGCTCTGCCGCTGATTGACTGGCCGGCGTGCGCGGCGACGCTCGACAAACTTGGCCCAGCGGGCGGGCGGCACTCCGGGGGGAGGGGACAGGCGGGGGTTGGGGAAGGGGAGGAGGTGGGAGGGGGGGGGCCGGGCCGGAGACGGGCGGGAGCAGGCAGGGCCGGGCCAGGAGAAAACCTGGAAGCGGGGTGTAGGGATCCGGAGCGGCCAGTTCCACTTCCTAGGGGGGCCCCGCACCGGGCGCGCGCGGGCGCTCCCTCGAGCCACGCCCCGGCCGGCTCCTCCCTTCACCCCTCCTCCCCAGGAGGCGGGGGGAGCCTGCCAGGCCGCCCCCACCCCACCCAGCCCCCACGCGGGGGTGACCGAGGCTCCCTGCTGGCTCAAGTGGAGAAGCTCAGAGTCCCGGCGCACCGGGAGGCTGGGACACTTGTTCCGCTGCCCACGTCCAGCTCCTCGGCCTTCTGCGTGCCGGCCACCTGGCCCGAGGCCGGCTTACCTACTCCCTCCCGAGCCCCACCCCACCCCCAGTGCCCGGTCTTGCCGGGGAAGGAAAGCACCCGCATTGCTCGCATTGTTTCGCCGCCCGCACGGGGTGGGGGGGCACTTTGGGACTCGGAGCTGGCCCTGGCGCCGACACCTGGACTCCCCAAAAGTACTTCCCGTCCAACGGGGCTCCGGGAGCATGAACTTGTTCGAACCCACCACGATCCCCCCAACCCCCGCACCAGGTAAATATTGTAGGATTGGGCTACGAGTCTTAACACACACACACACACACACACACACACACACACACACTGACACACACACCCTCTCCCCCGCCCCCGTCGCTCCCCGCCCCAACTGCGAGGCGATGGGGCAAAGTCGTGGTTGATCTCTCATCGCTCTAGTCCAAGCCTTCCTTCTACGGGGTAGGGAAACTGAGGCCCCGAGGAGGGAAAGCGCCCGTTGTTAAGAACATGCAGCAGGGAGAAGGTGCGTCGAGAGCAAGGATACCCGAGGCTCACGGAGTAAAGGTCACCCAGCACCCAGAATTCATCTCAAGCACACACGGAATAAAGGTAGTCCTCTCTCCTCCATCACAATCCCCCCACCACGCACGCGCGCCGTACCCCCTCTGCCTTCAACCAGGCTTAAATGAGACTAAACCCTCTCTAGGGGACCCCTTTTCTATTTCTCCACCAGAAAACTGGAAATGGGTGAATCTTCCCACCTTCCAAGCTTTGTCAGATTCCCATTAATGAGTGTTTTTGAAGCTCCCAGACCTCCTCTAATGAAGGGAACTCCACAGATTGGGAACTTGTCATTACTGCTGTTATTGTTACAATCTGCTTTAAGAGGTTAGGGTGAGAAGTGCCTCAGACACCTCGGGAGTGTGCTGGGAACTGGGCAGATAAAAGGGGCTGGAACTTATTATTTGGCTAGACTCTCAATTCCCATAAAATTACATAGGGTGAAGATATGAACCATCATTGCAATTATCGCCCTCATAGGGTGTGTTGAGACTTCCTCCTCCTCTGTTGTTTGTAAACCACATGGACATGGTTGGCTCTCACGAGCTGTGGAGTGTCTCTGCACTCTTCCACACTTTATTACTCTGGACTCGTCCAGATTTTATTAACTCTTGGAGATCATCAGTATAAACAGATCGTGACCTGTCTCTAAGCAGGACTTACAGTTTCTCTGTGAGTTGACTGAATGCAGAGCTCTGATTTGCTAAATATGCCAACTCACCTGTGAGCAAATTTCTTGCCAGCCAGCCAGAGGGATTCTCCACTAGTCCAAGGTTTTCCTCCAACTGATAACCATCAGGTACCCCAGCCTCTGCTAGGGCTTAGCCCAGCACTTTCAACATTCATTGATTGGTGCAGTCACTTGAAGATGTTCTTTATCAAAGAGAATTCGAGCTAAAATGCAACCAACATTCATAACCAAATGAAATAATCGGGCAACCAAACTATGAAGCCCAAAGCAGAAAGGTTTCTGTTTGCACCCTGTTCAGCTCGTTCGTTGCCTTCCGATGTATTCCTGCTCTTCCAGTTCATGTCTTATTAACCCAAACTTGAGCCTTTTCCACGAGAAACAGTAACCTCTGGCTAGAATCGGATCTGGACAAGTCTGAACTTTACCACACCAGGCAGGAACCCCAAAGCCTGCTTAGAGGCAGCTCCCACTTCAAAGTCTCCTTTCATTGAAATACAAACGGGTGAACAACTGGCAATCTACGAAACAAATACCATCCAGCTTCCCCTTTCAGATGTTCCAAAGTTCTTCATTCCCTCCCCCCACTGCCACCCCAGCTTGCAAGACTCCCTGGTGACTTATACATATACTGCCCAGAGTACAAGTATCAACAAACTCTCAGACCAATGATGGAGCACTTTTTGCATAATGGGAAAATACCCAAATATCAAAGTTGTCACTTGCACCATTAAAAAAGTTTCCAGGTCTGGGGCCCTAAAAGATGGCAGAGCGGAGAAGGGCACTTGCATGCAGTCAACCGGGTTTGGTCCTTGGCATGACATCTACCCCCGAGCACAGCCAAAAGTGATCTCTGAATACAGAGCCAGGAATCCGTCCTGAACACAGCTGGGTGTAACCCCCCGCCAAACTAGCAAAATTTTCCAAATAAAGCATACAGTCCTGGCCTTGGCCGTAGCTCAGTGGTAGACTATACGCCTGGCATGTATGAAGGCCTAATTTTGATCGTTGGCACCAAAAAGATTCTTTGTTTTCCTTCAGAATCCAATAGTATTTAATTCTGAATATTTGAGGGGCTGGAGCCATAGGACAGTGGGTTTTGCCTTGCACATGACCCACCTGGGTTCAATCCCTGGCATTCCCCAAACACTGTCAGTAATGATCCCTGAGTGTAGAGCCAGGAGTTATCCCAGAGCATCACCACATGTGGCCCCAGAACGAACCCCCCAAAATTCTGGATATTTCATATCCAGGGAATCCCACTTTTTTTTTCTCTTTTTAGGTTACACCCGGTGATGCACAGGGGTTACTCCTGGCTTTGCACTCAGGAATTACCCCTGCTCAGAGGACCATATAGGATGCTGGGAATCGAACCCGGGTCGGCAGCATGCAAGGCAAATGCCCTACCTGCTGTGCTATCGCTCCAGCCCCAGTATCCTGCTTCTTCCATATCACATCATGCTTTGAAGATGAATCCATGTGATTGTGTCCCAGAGCTTCCTTTGTGTGGTTGTTAATATCCTATGTTCCAAGGGTAGCACTTTTGGTCATAGAAGACTTTACAGTTTGTGAAGTACTTCCAGGTATACTTTTACACTGTTAAAAAAATTATTTGTTCAAAATAGACGAGCAGGGACCAAAAGAGCTAGTACGGGGGTTAAGGCACTTGACTTGCGTGCAGCTGGTTCCATCCCCTGGCACTACTTAAGGTTGACTGGGCACAGATGCACTAATCCAGGGGTAAGATCTGAGCACATCCAGGTGTTGACCAACCCTTACATCCAAATAGATGAGCAGGGACAGAGAGATCCAAGGGTTGGAGCGTGTGATTTGCATGCAGGAGTCCCTGGTTTGATCTTAGGACCTATGTTCCCCTGTGTACTACCAAAAATTATCTCTGAGCACTTAGCACACTGGGCATAGCCCCCAAAGCAAAAATAAATATATGTAATAGATGTGCACCCTTAGTCTCAGCAAGGTTATGAGTCTTGTCCATAGATACAAAACTCTTGAGACACTGGAGCAGGGTGAAATTTTTCAGACTGACCTCTAAGTCACAGATTAGGGGCTAGAGTGGGTACTTGCCTTGCACACGGTTCACCCAGATTCTATCCCCAATACCACAAAGGTTCCCCCCAATCCCCACCAGGAGTGACCCCTGAGCTCGAAGCCAGTAGTAAGCCCTGAGCACTGCTGGGTGTGGTAGAAAAAATCCTAAATAAATAAACAGATGAATGAAGATATGTCCTAGATTAAGGACACTGAAATCTCTATGAGTTTCCTGAAATCTTTCCCTTGTGGCTACTTATTGTTGGTGGAATCACACATTATATGTGGATTTTCAACTAGGGATGGTCAGTCGTTCTAACCTATTATAAAGCACAAAATTCTAGTTCTACTTGGGTGTGTTGGGGTGGTAAGGAAGGATTGGGCCACACCCTGTCTCTATGCTCAGACATGATGCCTGGCGGTGCTCAGGGGAACATCATATGGTGCCAGGGATTGAACCTCGGTCAGATGCGTTCAGTGCAATATCTGACTCCCTGTGCTTTCTCTCCATCCGCATGAGTCAAGTTTTAAGTGGATCTTTTCTTCTATAGGTATGTTCAGCCTTCACGGATTCAACCAATTGCAAGTGTCACTTGGTTGAACCTATAGATGTAAAACTCCAACTAGGAGGAACTTAAGCATCCGTGGATGTTTTGTATCCATTGAGCATCCTGAAATGTCACCTCTGTGACCTTTGAAAGGGTGAGTCCAAAGTCATATGTGGATCTTCCTCCCTTACTTTTTCCTCCCTTCTTCCCTTCCTTCCTCCCTCCCTCCCTCGCTCCTTCCCTCCCTCCATGCCTCCATATTTCTCTTTCTCTATCTTTATTTCTCTCTATTTATATATTTCTTTCTTTCTTTCTTTCTTTCTCTCTCTCCTCTCTCTTTTCTTTTTCACACCTAGTGGTGCTCAGGGCTTATTTTGACTCTGAACTCAGGAATCACTCCTGGTGGTGCTCAAGGGACCATTAGGCATTCTAGAAATCAAACCTGGGTTTGCAACATACAAGGTAAGTTCCCTAGGCACTATGCCATTACTTCAGCCCCACATTGCTAGCATTCTTACTCTTTCATCCCAACACTAACAAGGTGCTTGTGGGGTCATTTCCAGAAATGCTCTGGGGACCATGCAATGCTGTGGATTGAACCCTAAACTCAATATGCAAAGTATGTGCTCTAGCCATTTGAGCTATCTCCCCAACCCCTATGAGTTTCTTTATAACCTTTTATACTT